AGAATCATCTTAAAGAAGAAAAAATACCTACTAAGCTTAGCTGTAGGTTTTTTGGGTTTATTTTGGGTTTTTTGTTTTTGTTCATTTTTCATAATTTTTTTTAAGAGAGAGTGGAAGGGAGAGAGGAAGATAAGAGAAACATCAATGTGAGAGAGATGCATCAATTGGTTGCCTCCTATGCACACCCCAACCAGGAATCGAACCTGCAACCCTTTGTGTGGGCTGATGCTCCAACCACTGAGCAACAGCAGCCAGGCTAGCTGTGTTTTCTTTTTTCTATTAACATAACATACCTGATAAAATTAATGTGCTGTCTACTAAATAAAATTTTTTAATTTTCCCAGACTTCAGTCATTCATATCTTATCTCCACAATTTTTGCCACATCTAACACTTTTACTGAAACTAACATGCTATTTTTTTTAAATAACTCACTTTTTTACTTAATTTATTATAGAAGGATACTTTTTATCAGTCCCATAAATGAAAACTAGTATCACTTGCAACAAGTGGAAGTTGTTTCAAAAAATTGTTTGTCTTTATAACAATAATTCTTAAATTCCTGCTAGCTAATTGCTGCATGCCTTGACTCTGAGCTTAAAGCCTGCACTTTCTGTTTTGGGTTTGTTTTTGTTTGTTGGGGAGGGGGGAAGGTTGGGGTTGTGAGTTAAAGGAAAAATGAAAAATTTCAATAGAATAGCTTTTTCAATGAAGGGTTCAGTGATTTAATGGTCATCTTCATGTTATCACTTAAAGTTACTTCTGATAATCATACTTTAAGAAACATTGCCTTAAAGAGCTATTGAGCGCTGGATCATGATACTGTCATCGAAACAAAGTTAGAAGATAGAGTCCCTGGCTTCACAGAATTTATAGTCTTATGGGGAAGATTAGACTGTCTTCCAACATAATTGCCTTGGATTAATAGTTACGTGTCTAGTAAGTAGGATAGAATTCAAAGGAAGGACATCTGCTTTTGACCTGAAGCAAAGCTTCAGGTACAGGGAGCGATTTCCACTGGATTTTGAAGGGTAGATGGGATTCTAGTAAGCCAGTGTTTGTAGGTTTTCTGTCACCATCTGTTTTTAAAATATTTGACTCTCCTTGAAGATATTTCAGTGCCAGGATAGGTTACAGGAATTACTACAGCACACAGAATGTTTTTTGTGTTGAAAAATATTATCCCACCCTGAAAGAGGATTGATTTTTTTTCTCTAAAGAACTTAACTACAAGAAACCTAAATGTTGACTAAAATAAATGTTTTAGTGTCAAGCACTGAACACTCATATTTTTTCCCAGTTTGCCAGTACTGCTAAATATATGAAGAATACTCCTTATGTAAATGAGGTATCAAGTGATGAAGCGCTCCTGAAAAGATATAGAAAAGAAATAATGGATCTTAAAAAACAATTAGAGGAGGTATGTATGAACCATGTATTTCAGTAAAGAATGGGACAGAAATAGAATTGAAACCTGCCTAAATGCTCAGAAAGGCTCTTAAATCATCAATATCTGTGTCATGTGACTTAACTTTAAAACAGTTTTTAACTAAGAAGAAATCAACGCAAAAGTTTTAGTTTAATTCACTATAAACTGAAAGATTTGGTTTCTTAAAATTATTTTCTCTTTCATTTTTCATTTCCAAAGGGAAAAATTTGGGATTTTGAAATGGGCCAAGTAAATACTTTTTTAAAAAATATATATTTTTATGATTTCAGAGAGGAAGGGAAAAGGAGAGATATAAATGTCAATGATGAAAGAGAATCATTGATCAGCTGATTTCTCCATGCCCCCTACTGGGGATCAAGCCTGCAACCTGGGCATGTGCCTTGATCAGGAATTGAACTGAAGCTTTCTGGTTCATAGGTCAGTGCTCAACCACTGACCCACACCAGGCAGGCCAAGTAGATACTCTTTAAAAATTGTCACAAATATAGGGAAGTGAGTTAAAAAGGAAGACCATGTATGGTTATGTAAAACTACTTTCTATAGTTTCATGTTATCTTGAATTCCTCTTCTAACCCTGCAGTATCTATATCTATCCTATCTAATAAAAGAGAAACATGGTAATTAGCGTATGACCACTACCCTTCCCATTGGCTAATCAGGGCGATATGCAAATTAACTGCCAGCTAGGATGGTGGCTAGCAGCCAGGCAGCTGGAAGTGAACATGAGGCTTGCTTGCTCATGGAGGAGGACTCCAACGTTCCCCGCCTACCTTGCCAGCCTCTGAGCCTGCAGTTTGAACATTGTAACAAATATAGAATCTAAACAAAACCCCAGAAACCTGCTTTCAGCGAGCCGGGATCTCAGAACTGGAGTTGATACAAAGTTTCGATTATAGAACACAAACAAACCAGATATCTACTTTCAGCAGCGGAGGCCTAAGAGCTGGAGCCTCAGAGCTACGGCTG